GTTTCTGTTGAATACTTAACACAACACGCTTCCTTTTAAACCCCGACATTTTGCTAACGCACTTGAAGATCTATATTAAGAAACTGATACTTACTTTCACAATGCACTCTCACACTGAGATGGTACCGTTAAATAACCTGGGGCGGTGTATTTGTCCTTGAAACTTTCCAAAAATTCTTGCATTCTTTCACCCCCACCCTAGAACATTGTGTTCGCATAACGGGACGAAATAATGCAGAGCTCGGTTCACACTAGTGCGAAAATAGTGTTAAACTCACCATGTGAAACAAAAGTGAATGAATATTAAACAACATATAAACTTAAAAAAAAAAAGCCCCGGTTAAGCCGCAAACCGGTTAATCCGCCCCCGGATAATCGAGAATTGACTGTAGTTTCTATCTAAATTCTCAACTGCACATGCCTTAATGGCATACACTTCCGCCCTTTCCACACAGTTGCCTACACAAGCGATATCATACCCTCAACAATGTTTCAGAAAAAGTTTATCTCTATTATATATACACCTAAAACATTGGACACTCAAAAACATTTGCCATGTATTCAACTTCACAGCTTGATCCTAATGTACAACAACACATATTTTCCTGCTACAATCAAGAAAATCCTACCCTTGTAAACATAGTTTGTCAATATGTAGTGGAAATGTTAAATATGGCTTCACCCTTCAGGGTGTATCTTGTCTCCACATATAATGTGCTGTACTTACAGATCACGCTCATATTTTTTAAGCAAGGCTGCCTCTTTCTCAGTTGGCTGCCTATTTTCGACTTGCAATGTCCGCTTAATTCTTGCGTGTGCACACAAGGTTACGTCCAGAAATTCTGCTTCTCCAAGAAAGGCTTGCTGCAACAGTAATCATACAATTAATGCATCATTATGTTTTATTACTGAGGACATGATGACCATGTTCAAATCTTGCAATAAAGAGTAAAATGAGAGAATTTAATAGTAACAAATCATCATTGTTGTGTATGGTGAATAAAAGAAGATAATTTACCGTTATTTGCCAGAACGTAAGCCACATCCCCAAAATTATATGGCCTTGAAATAAAATTAATAATTAGGCCCTTACATGCAACAATCAGTACAGCTCAAAACAACCAAGTATAATTCTGCTCCATGTATTTTCATACATTAAAGCATAATAATTTAATTTTGGGGGTTGACAAGACGCTCTAACAACACAAAAGAATTAGGTATGATGCATGTCCATTGCAGTACCATTTAACAGAGAGCAGTCATAACAATGAACTATGTACCTTACCAGATACAGACAATCCAATGATGTTTCTTTTTCTTTAGAAACTGATTATAAAGGTATCAATTTTGTCAGAAAAGTGCAGCTTATATTTGGGCAAATACATGTCACCTCAGATTCACAAAGTATTTGGATTCCTTACCTCATAACCCACTTGTCCGCAAGACATGTAATATAAATTAAGTGCTCTAAATTCTCTACTCTTGGTATCAGCATAGTCAGGGATAGGACAATGTTGAGGAACAGATGGTTTCAAATGCAGTAATACTACATATTACATAGAAATACTGTAACCATGGCCTGCATCAAATAAACCTGCCATGATTCAGACGATGAAAACTGAATAAATCACGTTTCCATTTCAGGAACCAAAGGCAGACTAATTATGGAGCAAATGTGGTGGCTATGTTCCTCTTTGTCTGCAAACAACAAAGCTCCCTGCTTGAATAAAGATTGTACAAGCACATGGTGAGCCTGGCTTTAACTGACAATGGCATGTGTGAATATGGTATATGTTGTTCTTATGCTTTTATAATCATGAGTAGCATCTGTCACTTATCAGCCCCCACCCACCTGTTTTATCTGTATTGGGCTTTATCTGAATAATGTGTGCCGGATGAGCTCTGGCGAGCTTAAAAAAAAAGAAACAACTTAAAATAGTGACAGGAACAAAAAAAGTCTGGTAAGTTCACTGAAATGCTGGAAGGTTTCCATTTTGTGCCATCTGTTAACAGGCCTCAATAAGCCTAACATAGGAAAGATGGCTCATTTGGTATAGGGACATGCTATGGGCAGGATAGCAGAGGTTTAATTCCTGGCAGAGACAGGAGATTTTTCTCTATTCCACAGCATCCAGACCAGTTCTGAGGCCCATCCAGCCTCCTATCCAATGAGTATTGAAGTTCTTTCCCACCAGGTGAAGCGGCCTGGGCAGGAAGCTAACCATTCACCTCCATCTACTGCCAAGATGAATGGTGGAGCTATACCTCAATTCCCCAGTACATGTTCATGGAGTGGTGCTTAATCAATTAAACCCAGGGACAACATAGTTGCAGAATGAATGTCAGAGAAACACTGTATGGGGTAGATTCAAATGTAAAGGATGGAGTCCTCTGCTGCGCTTTTGTGGGCACAGTAATGATTCAGTTTCCACAAACACAGGGAACTTCAGCAGCTGCATAACCATCAGCTTTTTAAGGAAGACTAAATGCCATGAAATTAACAGTCAAACAAGTGTGATGAGCCCTTTTGCTATGCACTTAAATATATGCAACTGAAACATGCAAAACTAAGCCATCTGTATCCAGCACAGTTCATTTGAAAAACAACTATTTTACCTGAAAGAATTCATCAAACTTCTTCTTTTTTGCTCGCTGATTTAGTTGTTCAGGAGGAGGATGAATTGCTACTTTTCCTTCTGATGCCTTCTGCTCTTGTTTGGCCTCTGAATCATTCTCTGCCTTGGTTATATCCCTCTTAGGGGAGCTGCATATTCTAACTTTCATCTTACGACGACCCAAAACAGCTCCTCTATATGTTAGAAAAAAGATTTATTAAGTGAGATTTTAGGTTCTCATGACAGTTACTATGAATATTACTGTCTTGTGAGACGTGAGGACATGTAATTTTCATTGCATGCATCCTGTTGAGTTTTAATATACAATTTCTTTATTAAAACCATCACAACACAACTATATTAAGGTCAGTGCCCAGTTTGGCTCTGCTACATGTTTCGGCTATTAAAAGCCATCATCAGGCAAATATATGGCTAACATATATACACCACTGAACTGCAATACTAATAAAATTGGATACAATAATATTAAATTATATTAAAATACTTGGCATGAAAAAAAAAAATTAGATTATATAAAACAAGAATAAATTTCTTCGAGTGATGCTTTACATCTTCCAGTCAGTCACTGGTTTTTGTGATTAATTTAATACTATTACTTTTGTATCATTTTCAGATTAACATTAATATTACTACATCTACATCACGAGCCCCCAAAACAGTTTATGTATTAAAGCATGATGAGGACGTACTTCAGATACTGACTTATGGGGTTAAAATAGTTCTTTGCAAAACAAATGAAATGACTTAGTGGCAACTGGAATGTCTCAAAAACGGGAATAAAAATGCTGTGAAAAGTGGAACAAAGAAATAAATATAAACCTAAAGTGAAACACTGACAGACAGAAGTTCACAATACCTTTCATTTTCGAGTGTAAAAATCACCTCAGTTGGGCGTCTATTCAAACCAGAGAGGCAAGAGTTCTTGCACATAAACTTGAAGGCCATTGTCACCCAGTCAGTTCCTGCCTGTGGATGACTCAGTGCCATCCGGACACTAAATCTTCCACTCTTCTCATCAAACTCATAAATTGCTTGTGAATGATCAATATGTAGCACATAATCAATCAGCTTAACATCAATACCTGCAATATAATACAATAGTTAGTCTACATAGGGTAAAATTTGACGACTTGTTTACTGTTATGTCTTTCTCAAGCTGTTTTACATTCATGCTTCAGAAAAAGTAGGGCTGTGGGGAGAGAGCATCTCCAATCCAGCCAATAGTCATGCAAGTATTGCTAGGCAGACAAAGTACACTTCTGTTTAAGATACAACCATTTCAAATGTGAAATTTGTTAACAGAGGCATGAGAAATGATTACAGTGGTTTAGCTATGTCAAAAGAATGGATAGGACAAGGGCACTGAGATGGAAATTAATTTTATATTTAAAGAAAAAAAATTAATGGTAGACCAAGATGGTTTGGCCAGATACTGGAAGACATCAAGTGAAGTAAAATCTGGCAAGAATTTATAAGGAAAAGTGGAAAGAAAAATTAGGTTGGAAACTTTCCATTCACCAATCCATATGAAGCGAAGATAATGATGTAGCAGTATCAACAAAAAGGAGGTGAAGACAAAGATGATGATAAAGTTGAAGAATACATTTAGAGAAATATGTTGTGGGAAGCATGAACTGGACTGTCATGACTAAGGGAGACTTTTGTGGTGATAGTAATGAACCTTCAAGTTCAGGAAGTTCAAGGAAAAAAAAACAGGAGTTCACTCAATCTTAAAACATTGCAATTACCTGCATTATCAGGGTGATCTGTGAACTTATGATGCAGACAACGAACCACTGGTTCCTGAAATGCTTCTGCATCACAGTGTACTAGAAGAGCCCGTACAAAGAGGCCAGCTCCAAAATTATCGCACTTGAATCCCAAATGAATTACTGTCTTGAGAGTTATAAACAATTTGTTCATAACGTGAGAAAACTGTGCATACAAAAGAAATCATGTAAGTGCAATGTAAGCCTCTGGCAATGAGGACCAGTGCACTGGTTGCTCATTCCACCCGTTGTTCCCCATCACTTTTCAAGAAAAACCACTTTATGTATATCACAAAGAAGTAAAATTATATAAAGGCTAAAACTATTCTATGCGCATGAACTGTTTATTGACTGGAATATAAATGAGCACCCAGAAAACATGTGGCATTTACACAATCATAAATGCATCAGCACTGCTAAAACACAGCTGCCTTTTCATGACATTGGCCCCAATATGGGTCTCAAACAGATGGTTTCTTGCATTAAAATCCTCTCAGTTCATCAGCCTCATTAATGGCGAGTTACAATACCAAGGTTTCAGAGACCTGGTCTGTCTCCCTCACAGAGGCTGACGGTAAGCATGTGTAAAAATGACTTTTTAGTTCAAGATCAGAATTTGAAAAAAATCTAAAGAACTGAAATGAGAACAAGAATTTTCTCTATCTGACAATTTTTTTTCATTGTAATCATAATTTATAGTATAAGCTACATTTCATAGTGTACTAAACCGTACTACTTATCCCTTTGGTAACAGATCCTTTTCCAATGAAAAATATACATAAATCATTGCATTAAAAACACATAACTCTAGAGTAGGAATAGGAAATGAGACGTTTGTTGACAAGTTGATTCATGCTATGGTGGAGCCAGGCAAAGAATTCTTAGGATCATCCACCCACTCCCTTTCTGTACTCCCCTTACTCCAGCTCACTCTTCCAATCCTATAGTTGGATTACACATTCTACATCATTAGGTGGGGAATGGCCGCAAATAGGCAAGAAAATGCAGTGGGGGAACAGGCTCTTATCTCTTAGCAACTCTTCTTCGGCCAGCTCAACTACTGTTATGATTCCGACTAATTAGGTTGTTTGGGTGCCACTGCATAAAGCATTGAAAAAATAATGTTAAAACTGAAACAGAGATTTCTTTTTCTAAATTCAGTGTCTAAAATTTGATACTCACATATGCCTAGTCAACAGTCATCAAACCTGGTGATGGAGACAGAGAGGAAGTCTCTAAAACACTGGGTTTTAACTTAACTCCATGGATGCTAACTGTTCATAAGAAGTCTGGTACACTTATTCGCCAAGATGCTTTAAATCCTAAATATAGGTCCTGAGCAGGACCATGCCATAGCTCAAGCGGTTAGTCGCTGGCTTCCCACCGCAGTGGCCCGGATTCGATCCTGGGTCTGGTCAAGTGGGGCGGGTATTCTCTGAGTACTTTGGTTTCCCCTGCCAATCTTCATACCACCAAATTCTTTATCATCATAATCACCCGGGGCAGGCTACAATAGGTCAATCAGTAGCCACTGTGCCGAGTGGACCCAGTTGGACACCACCCCCCACTAAGTGGAGGCTAACAGTGGTAACAGTGGGCAGAAGCATACACAAATAAAAACGATGGACAAAAGAGAAATATGGAAATTTCCATTATTCATATGCTACAGTCAAACCTGAAAATCAATCATTACTTACTGGTTATGCTAGATGTTACTAAACAGTGGGACACCTATCTTTCTAACTGAAGAAAGCTGCCCTTGTTCGATAGTAGTAGGCCGATAAAATAATAAAGTATGAAATTGCAACATGGTTAGTAGATGGACATTCTACTGTGTAACATTCTCACTATTACTAACCACAGTGTCATCACAATTATTTGGATCAAGATCCGATTACATAAAGCATATTACAGAACAAAACTATATGAAAGGAAAACAAATCACACACTGAAAATTACAGAGCCAGAACTGAAAACATTAAGATAAATGTTATATTGCTGTTGAATAAACATATCTTATACCGAATTAATTAAACTATTATTATTATCATTATTTTTATTAATTTCATTATTATTATTATTATTATTGTTATTGTATGCTGCTCTATTTGAAACTCAAATTCTCACATCGTGGCTTTGTCTGTGTATGTTTGCTTCTGTATCTTTATTCATGCCGTGTAATTAATACAGACTATCATTTCTGTATTTTGTTTTTTTAATTATTTTTGTGTATTTCTCTATTCGTGCTAGCTTTGTAATTGGCCTCTGTGCTGTTAAGTTTGCATGTAAATAAACACGAATTGAATTGAATAAGTAAAAGTTACTTCCAGTTTAACGCACACACACTGTTGTTCACAAGATACATTTATACACAGTGCGAAGTTTCAAACTACTGCCTTATTAAAAATGTCAGTTTGTTTATTTGCAGTTCCACTGTTCTATGTCTGTGAAGTATTCAGATTAAACTCCATGTCCAACATCCTTAGGGGTACATCATACCATAAGTAGGCAATGCTATAGAAGATATGACCCATGTTTTCAACATCACCAGCAAGGAGTTTCTTGAGGTCATTTACAGGTTTCACAATTTAGTAACCAACCTTCACGGAATCAGTAACTCACTTATGCAGAAATACTGTTGATGCTGTTGACGGGGGACCCCCAAAGATGTTTTAGACAAAATATATTTAATGTTACATTTTTGTTTTTCCTATCTCCTTATGCACTGAACAGTTTGTATTCATAAGATGTAATTTATAGTGATTTATGTATATTTTACTGAGCAATCTTTTAAAAGTTATACTTACCATCCATTTACTGCTTGAAGACCTGCCATCGATCTGAATCTCAAAATTGTGTGGTCCAGGGTATTCTTCTCTTGCAGGCATTGCACATGTTGGTGATGGCAGTAAAGACGCTGACTAAAGAAAGAAAACATCCTTACATGGCACCTTCTGATGGACCATAAATCAAGCAATTCTTTAACCAAATTTAAAACTGAAATGCTTGAACATAGAGAATTATTTACTAGAATACCAAAAAAAGTTGGAGGCCTCATTCTGACAAGAGTAAAAGTTTGTTCAGGTGTCCACTGCCACAAAAACTAGCGAACTGAGATCTGGGTAGCTATCAGATGAGACTAGCAAGAAAACTATCTACAAGACAGTCATGTAAAGGGACATCTGTTCAGCCTTGATTATGTTATGTGACTGTAAGGTCTTCACTGAGTTACAAACCAAACAAGTATCATAAGGTCACATTAAGCAAAACTTTCAACTAAACTTTAATGTGATTGATCATCCAGAAGGATTTTGGTGCATTTATTCACCATAAAACCTTCAAATGCCAATCATTCACAGTAACAGAGGGAATAAGTAGCATGGATAACCAAAGAATTTGGAAACACCAACTTTCCAAGTTGCATTGAACCTTACAATCATTTCAGAAACCAAGTGACTATCAAAAGGTTCCATTAAATATTCAATATGCAAGACTGCAGGAGTGTCAAACCTCAGAAACATGATGCGTTATAGACTGAAGGCAGTCATGGTGAAAGGGATGGTTAACTCTTAACGTCCAAAGTGGACATATCGGAACAGTGAAAGGTACAGTCGTCATGGCTAAAGTACACATATTTGTGCATTCCAGCATTTAAATACTGCTAGTAGAAGCATGCAAATGGCACTTACAGAGGCATGCACACAATTCTAAATAATTATTTTTAAATATAGTAAAATTCAATATACATATATTTTTTTGTTATCTTCGTGATGTATATATACGCTTCACCCCCCAACCCCCTCATCTAATTAAATCAAGCCTTTGTAAAGTATTCCTCAAAGCACCCAAGCATACACAGTCCTATGTAACATATCCTGCACTTCAGCTGTCTTTCAATTTCATCATCTTCCAAAAAAACGTTTCATTGCACTGTACAATGAAATGAAACTATGATATCAGAATTCACTATGAACTCACAGAAAACTGAATGCACTCTGTATCTCAGCTAAAATGCAAGCATTTGTTTGCAACCATAGAAAGGGCAGTAATATCTTTCAGCTGCAATGGAAGGGCTTGGGACTCGTGTATGAAACAAAGAACTTTCTCTCCGACCTCTCTTGGATTCCCATACTTTCACTTTTCTATGCCTCTAGTCAACAGAATCAAATATCTGAAGAGTGTAGCAAAAATGAGAATCTTACAAAGCAAATAATAAAATAAGGTTTTTAGTGGTTCCAGATGGTTTGACACCAGAGACAGCTGAAGTGTGTTAAGTGTTACAAGAAGGAATGACTGTAATGCAGAACCACTCCGTGAAGTGGGAAACTTTTGTTACACTGCACATAAAAGGTACAACTTTTTTTCCTTAAATATTTTCAAATATTACTATACAATATGCAACATTGTGTTCTTTGCTGTTAAAAAAAAACAAGGTTAATTCCATTTCTTTATCATAACAATTTTCTCAAATACAGAATTTTTAATAAAGTACTTAAAATGCCAAACAGCAATGTGCATTAAAACACCCATCAGTAGCAGGCATTTAAATAAACTCCATCCAGCTCACCCTAGCACCATATAAAAGTTAATACATACTAAGGATTACATTACAAAAGGACTGGCCTTCTGGTGATAAAGATTTACTTCAGAAAAAGACTGAATATGTGCAAGCTATAATTTAGTTGGGAAAAGTACTGACTGTGAAGTCAAAATTTACTTCAAAAAGGTCTTGGCTTATGCAGGTTACAATCTGCTTTAAAAGAAATGGGGGGGGGGGCTGGCTTTGGGCAGACTATGATCTCTTTCTGAAAAGAACTGAATTTATGCTGGCTAAGATTTACCACATGACACTACAAATGGAGGCACACCATACTCCTAGGATAATGCATACATAATGATTCAATTCCTGTTTCAGTGAGGTGCATCAAGGAATTCTATATGCTTGGCAAAATTCCAAAAACTTTGCTAACTCCACTTCATAAAATCAGATTCTATTAATTTACAAACAACACCTTTAATATATGTTCTTTCATTGGAGGGAGACCAAGTTTCACAGCAAACAAAATCCATATAACCAATAAGATACAATTTTCCTTTTGAATATCATTCAGGCATGTATACTTGCAATTAAATCTTACCATGCTGGATGGACCATTGAACTGAGAGTACTGAATGGTGGCCTGCTGTGTCCTGTCTACACCCTGAAAAAAGAACAATAAAAGTAAAAATATGGATGAACAAAGATAATTAAACATGGTACGACTACAAATAAAACTCATACCCGTTTCTGGTATAATTCAAACTGCGTTAAGTCATTCATATCTCTGTTAATTGAAGTTGAAATAAAAATATGAATAACCCAAATGTTCACAATAGGTTAAAAATTCAGTTCCTACCTCACAGAAAACACAATTCATCTCCATTACAAAGACCAACAGGTCAACCAGGGGTTTAGGAAAGTCGGGCAAAATGAAGTTTTTTAATGTAAAAGTAGATGGTAAATACATAACCATTGTATTATAAAGGGTTAACATCAAACTCTTCTATCTAATTACAAAATAATGGGGAAACAGAAGTTCTATTCACACAAATAAGAACTCTGACCAAAATTGCTACTACTTGATACCAGTTATCCACCTGAGCCATCTAGAATAAAAGATGTCCTGTGAGATCTTAAAGTTCTCAAGGCAGTGAATTACATTACAATTATCTGGGATGTGACACTGAGTAGTCTGGTACATACATACCAACATTTCAGGAAATCTGATGCCTACACTTTGACAGCAGAATTCTCTGAAATGTTGTACACATTCAGAAAGATGTCTCCAAGCTTCAATGGCCATCCCTCATACAAACAGCACATATGGGAAGCATGCAATCCTTCCTCAAACTCCCTCCTTGTCCTTTTCATCCTTCATCTTCCTTCCCCTCTTTCTGTGACATAGCTCAGGCCTGGATATATTCTGCATCAAGTGTACCTGTCTACCAATTACAGGATACCTTTTCTTCAAAGTCTGTTATTTAACAATACTGCCAGTATCAAGATCATGTAGTGTCTATATGCATGCATGACCACATCCCAAAAGATCATATACACATATTCATAGCATGGTGCTTAATTAATCACTGGGACAACTTTACTTTATTATACTAATAATTTCTTGAATTCTTTATGCAAATACTGTACAAAATATAACACATATTTATGGACAAACGCAATGTTTATTCAAGTTATTTTTCTGTCACATACGAGGGGGGACCCAAAAATAACCGGAAACGACCTGTTGCGCGCGCATGCTTTGTAGTTACGAGTTGTGCTGCTAGGTGGTGTTAGCTGGGGGTCTCCCGCGACTGTTAGTGAGCTGGCGTCGGTCTGAGTTATGTGGTTTGTCTGTGTCTGTGGTGCTCTGTTGTGTGCGTTCCTGTTTCAACCCTTTGGCGATTAGTGAGATGGCCGACCAGAAAATCAAAATCAAACGTGCAACTGACGAAGATCGTCGAAAGACCATTGACCAACTTTCTGAGGAAACGAACATCTCATGGAGCACGGTCCAGCGAATTTTAACCGAAGGTTTGCACATGAGACGGGTGCCTGCAAAATTTGTTCCTCGCTTGCTCGGAGATGACCATAGAAAAAACCATGTGAATGTTTGCCGCGACTTGAAGAGTGAAGTGCAGTTTTCCCTAACAGAAAGCAAAATTTCACGCACACTCTTTGTTCCTTCTGGTCGGCCATCTCACTAATCGCCAAAGGGTTGAAACAGGAACGCACATAACAGAGCACCACAGACAAACCACTTAACTCAGACTGACGCCAGCTCACTAACAGTCGCGGGAGACCCCCAGCTAACACCACCTAGCAGCACAACTCGTAACTACAAAGCATGCGCACGCAACAGGTCGTTTCCGGTTATTTTTGGGTCTCCCTTCGTATACTGCCAGACATGTCCTAAAACGTATTAGGTTCTTAACCTACACTAACCTTAAATCAAATTAAATCTCTTTAGTAACATGGAACTTGAAATTAATTACAATCACGTATGGTACACATGCGTGTATTAGCTGAGCAACATATACATGAAGTATGTTAAAATATAAAAGATGAGTCAAAATGGCTGATACAGGAACCTCATTACCGCAAGGCTGCTTCTAATGCCATGTCCAAAAGTTTCTGACGATGGTGTAGTACAGTAAACATGACCATTATTCTGGACATTGTCCATCACGTTGAGTTCTTTCAAATGTAACATTTCATGATCTAAATCTGTTTCAAGAATTTAATGTATGGAAGGAAAGCTCCTACCCTGTTGGGCCCATTACAAAGAGCTAGTCTCAAACACTGATCCAATGAAGGTTCAGTAATTAAGATCAGCTCTTTCTAACAGGCCCAAATGAGCTGCAAGTTTTTCTTCCTTACATCAAAGGACAGAAGGAAACAGATCTAGTTTCTGAAACACGTTAAAAAACTCAAGATGATGGGTATGTCAAAAGAAGTCATGTTTATACAAAATTTTATATTTTGTTTAATGAATCCTACATGTAAATCAAATGACAACCTACAAAGCATGAGACGCTAAATTCAGTCAAAAGATGTATAAAGAAATTCATCTTTCATTCACCAGATTATGAAACTGTGCACTCTGAACTGAAGTCTGTGGTTCTTGCACAGCAGTCACATCATCAACAATATATACTTCCTCTTTAATGCCATCATGTATGCCTTCAAAAGTACCACATGCCTCAAGAAGTTCCTCATACTCTGATGCTGTCCTGAAAGAACAGAAAATCCCAATCAACATGGATGAAGGAAATTTTGGTACAGGCCTATCTTAGAAGTAAATGACATTTACATTTCTCTGATTTACAGAACTGTAGAATATATACTTCTTATTCCATATCACTCTAGTTATCACTTTAAGATGATTACATAGTAACAGTCAGCTTCTGACTTGGAATACTGANTGGCCGGCTGAATATATTACCGCAGGAGCCGCGGCCGCGGAATTTAAATGACCACGTCAATGGGCTAAATGAGGGTTCCACTGCATTTTAAATATGGATTTCTAACCATCTGGCTTTGTACTTATAAGGTCCAAGATTTGATTCTTGATCTGCTGGTCAGCCATTCTGAGGCTCTTCACAGTCTCTCTCAGCCCCTTCAGACAAATGTTGGAATAGTACCTCAATATCAGCCACAAATACACTGTTCCATTCTTTCTAATTCGTCATCAGAATCATCCTACCCTTCACACAGTGTAACTAAGCAACACTTAACCTCCAAGTCAGTATCCTGAGTACATCCTCCCAAGGCTGTGTGGTTTTCTGCTGTTTAACTACAGATGCAGAGTACTGCTAGTCTGCTTTTACCGGTTCTCACGGTCTCTTAGCTTGTAGATTTCTTGTATTTTTTCTTCTACCCTGAAGATGGAGGCGATACGTTCCTCCGAAACGTCGGTTAACACCACATATACACGGTGCCAAATCCCAGAAGACTGCTTTCTTCTTTACTGCTAGTAGGTTTTAATAATCCGAGAGTGCATCAATGATTAAGCACTCTGTGATTTTAGTCTGCAACCAAACTATACCGACCGAGTGACCGCCGCTTGCCGGTGAAGTATAGTACCAACTTTCAAAACATAAATTGAAAATACTATGAACACCAAAATTTCTTTATGGACATGACCTTGAGCAACAAGATCTCCTCAAGTAAGATGTTCCATGATGTTCACAACCAAAGAAACCACTTTTCTAAGATACATTTTTGGTACAATAGGCTAGAAGTGGCCGCAGTACAAGGGACTTAGTCCCACCCCACTAGCAATTAAAGAAATACACCTTAATATTATTCTCCCATCTCTTTTCAGTTTCCCATGAAGCTTGCCATAAAAAATTCTGTATTAATGACTTTGTTTCCCATATCTAAGGTACATGCTGAGCCCACCTTAATCTCCTTCACTTTAACACCTCCAGAGCACTAGTGCACACAAATAACAAACATAGCTGTTTCTCACATATCCTGCATCCTTCCTTTTTTATTCAAAAATTTTCTGTACAACTTGTTTCCAAGATCTATAATTTAAGTCAATAAACCTGAAACACTGTATTTGGGCACCACGCTGTGTTTTGTACTACTAGTATAGGCGGTTCTGTCAAATACAGTAAACACAGATAACACGGCTAAAAAAACAGATCACAGACATGCCCCCAAAATGTAAATACTGGTCAATGTAGAAGCAGCATAAGCAGCCTTGTGATTGCCAAATAGGCAAAAATATGTTATGTAATAAAGGTGAAGCAATAAACTTGGCATTAAATATCCTCCATTTAAGACATTCTGTAGTTCAGTTTTTAAACCAAATGCTCCCAAAATAAACCTTAAATGGGAGTTCACCCTATTTTGTAATATAATTATTTAACATATTTTTAATCTTTAAAGGACTCTGTTCAGTGGTTTTATTAACTGCACATATTACAGACCACCTAATGGCAGGATGATAGACACTTCACAGAAGAATGTGGCCTTTTTAGTCAGTATTTGCCTGGAGCAACCAGACAAATATCACAAAATCCTCATACTGAGCAAGCTGGTCCAAGGAACAAAACTTTCTTTTTGTATCTGGGAGGTGCCTAGTTCAAATCTTCACAGAGCACCAACTAATCCTGAAGTTTTACATGGTTTTCTACAGTCCCTCCAGGCAAATATTTGAAGAATACCTCAAATTAACAATGATTGCTTCATTTCACATCCTTCCCAGCCCATTATTCACTAACCGTCCTCCTATTTACCATTACACAGTCCAAGATACTGTCAGCATCATTAAATAAACCAAAAGTCCCAAAAACCAAAAGACCATCCTAGCCAGTCTGTCAGACATTAGAGCCCAGGAATTCCAAAATATGAAGTCAAAGTCAAAGTCAAAGTCATGTTACAACTGACGGTCATTCAGTCTGTCTGTCCTGGTGTCGAGCCCCAGCTGGGGCTCATGACCAGATGTTTTCTTCTTTGTGAAAGTTGATGTCCTGTCATTTTTGGGCGCCCTCTCTGACGAGAGGTCGGGTCTGTCGTTTGTCAGTCTTAGTCAGTCCATTGTCAATACTGACATATATTTACAATTTAATTCTAGTCTTAATTCCTATTCCTATTTTTATGTACAATATATATAAGGCCTCTGTCAGTCCAGGTTTTGTACAGCAGATTATGCCCTATTTCTAGTAGTATTCGCTACCACGGCAGTCTAGTCACTTGAACAGTCGTATGCCTGACCGCCGCCAAATTTAAGCCTCTTATACTTTCTGTGTTGGGCTTCGCCTTGTCCAATGTTGCGAACATGAAGCAGGTATGTCAACTGCTATATTGTAACATACGGTAGTTAAAGGGATCTCAGCTCACCATTCACAATCCTCATATACATAAAAACCTTAGAAGCTGTTGCACCATCATTACACATGAAAAATATATAGCTACTGAAGTTGTACCTCAGCATCCTGTTGCAATTGGTATTAGAGTTTATTTTACAGTTCTGTTTATCATTCACCATGCAACGACATCAAGATCTAAAATTAAATCGTTTTTGAAATTTGTTATTGCACTGCATGTTCCGAGGTACACAGCAGATCCTCCCCAAATTTCAGCGCACCTATTGATGGCTGAGTAGGCCAAACATGTAGTGCAGTGACGAATTTTAAATCTTGATATTGTTGCATGGTGAATGGTAAACAGACCTATAAAATAATTAGTTACACTACTCACATTAGGTTTCCGAACTCTGTGAGCACAGCGCTCTCATCATTGCTTGATGCACCTTCAGTCATATCTCCTCCTGTATGATTAATGAAAACAAATGTCTTATTCCTTGTCATACACCTTTCAATGATTAATGCTGTTAAAGGACTGAAAATACACATGTAAATAGTAAATGAAATAGAGAAAAACAGCTCTTAGCAGAACTCACACGCCTGCTTTCATGTCGCATAAATTTCTAGTCCTAGAGACCAGTTACTATTGTTGTTTTATATTTCAGGGTTTAAGAACTTTCAGACACAATGTGCAGTCACGTTTAAGATCTATCTTCATGCCAGACTTCACCTGCCTAGCTTCAACAGTGGAGCCAGAACAGCTGTCAATACAGCAATATACTATGGGCTGGATGACTGAAGAATAAGGGTCAATTCCCAGCAAGGGAAAAGATTTTTCTCTTATCCACAGAACCCAGCATATCCAGTGTATTTTGGGGGCTCTTTCCCTGGGGATAAAGCAGCCACGATGTGAAACTGAGTGTAGGAAATTAAAACTTATGACAACTAAGCAGCCTCCAGTGGCATAATAAGTTCATCAAACTAAGTCACCTGGTTCAAAAGTTCAAAGGGCAGAATCTACATGCAGCCTGGTTTTCTTGCAAGTGTACTTTGATCCCTTAAGAAATAAATAAAAAAGGTTAAAAATTACTGTATAGTGGATCTGAGAATTTAACAGTAACAACCTAGTTAGTTATCTTTCTAAGAACAAATTTATATTGGGGGATATCATACTCACAAGTACCTACCAACTAAGAGTACTATCTTTTGGGATGTAACACTCAGTCTAAAATAAGGTATTTTAAATATATTTTAAATGTAATTAAGCCGTGAGCATAGAAGCATAATTCTAAATCTGTGCATATAAGAGGATTATGGAATGTTTTATATTTTATTTTATAAACACACTAGATACTTGTAATATATGGATCCATATGTGAATCACAATTCAGTAATATCAGATCTGCTGACTGTATTGCCCGATGATGGCTCCATGAGCCAAAACATGTTGTGACATTATATTCTAATCCAATAAGAACTCAGTTGAATAGAGTGAAAGTGAGTTATGTTTACTGATTGTTGTATCTGACATGTGTACTAAGAAACATATATACAGTAACAAAAGCTTTTGCTTGGTACAAACTCCATGTTGGTTTCTCATTTGGCCCATTCTTCAACCATGAAGATGGTGACATCATCATCCAAATGTCAGGTGATTTTCAGTGAACTACACAGCAATACACCCTGGGAGATATCTCTCTTCATAACCACTTTGGTGAGAATCTCAAATCCTGTATCACTGAAAGTTGTCATATCCTCTTTTCTAGACTTGAAAGGATTCTGATGATGGTGTATGCTGTACAGAACTATTAGGCTTATTTTGGACTCTACCCATCGTCCAGTATATAAAAGACAAAAAAACCACAACGTTTCAGAGACTGGATCTGTCTCCGTCCTCAGGTGGACGGGGCACTGGACCAGTGATTGAGACTAGCTCTTTCTAACAGGCCCAACGGAGTAGGCTTATCCTGACCCATCCACCTATGGATGGAGATAGATCCAGTCTCTAAACGTTGTGGTTTTTTGTCTTTTATATACCGGACGATGGATAGAGTCCAAAATGAGCTTAATAGTTCTGTATACCCTTTTATGTTATTTACTTTCATACAGAAACCAAACAGGACACTAGTCATCATACAGTGACATCAATATTTAATTTAACTTTGATGGGTACGACTTTTCTTATACTAAACTGCAGTTTTCACTAAATAGGAGTCGGAGATGAAGACCAAAACACAAAGACTGAGGATGTGACAATATGCAGCTTGTCATGGCTATCTCACGCCTCAGGGGCAGTGACAAATAAACATGGAGCAACAGTGGTAGCTTAAACATACACATTAAAATCACAAAATATAGGACTCTATACAGATATATGGGTGTGATGCAAAATGCTACAATTGTTTAGTAATAAAAGTCTCCTGCTTGAAATTTTGTTTTCACCGCGATATCAAGATTACGATCGTCTCGAATTACATATCTCGGAGGAAGGTGATGTCTCCATCTTGAAGGTATGAGTTCTTACCTGCAGAAGAAGGTAGCATGTTCCTCTTAAAACATCGCTAGCCTTCCATAACAAACTACACAACATACCGGGTTACTTCATATCGTCACCTTTTAACTGCTACTGAAGAAATATACTTTCGTTGGCTGCGTGCTTGCCAATAATCACCGTTCATACGTTTCTCATTAGTGTTATATTTCACGCCCAATAACTTAAACTCGTTTATTTTACCTTCTAAGGACCTCCACTTCCTTTGTGTCATAACGCCGCCTTCTTCGGTTTAAGAGAGAGCGCCAGAGTTGCATTGACACAGCGGTATGACGTGGGGAGCAGGGATTAGTAGAGTGATTGATTGATTGAGTTATTTAAAATCCATAACTGTTACATTATGTACAATGTATGTGAGTATTTCAGGTCATTCAGTTGGTTCATGTATGTATACGTTACTGGTACTTCGTCAACTCGGTAAAGCGCAGGCTGTGACAACTTCCCATGGAACACATCAGCATTATTAAAAAATCCGTATGTCAATTATAAACTTGACAATTGGCATGAGTTGGTTTATCTCCGCTGCGGTCAATCAATGATCACTCTCTCCGCCTGCTACCCGTGGTGAGCACGGATGTGTAAGTGCAACTCACACTCACATAGTCACGGATCATTGGTCATAGCGATAGATGCTATTGATCGTTCATTACTGACATACTATTTCATTAGTATAGTGATTTTGACATGATATATTTTACATAATCATTTTTGGACATCCAACAAGTAAAGTAGTTCATGTACCTGTATATAATGAGACCTTTTTTAAACAATTTAAAACCATCAGACGATGTCACGTTCTGAGAAACGCTCCGAGAGCAGTTTGTTCAACATGGAGATCGTAGAGATCCATACGTAAAGTTGCTCCAGTGCTTAGTTAACACTTTCGCCCCCACATCCGACCCGTGGTCGGATAACAAACGCGAACATTTCTCATTTAAACGACGATTATATAGAATGCAAAAAAAAAAAAATATGATGTTACAACGCTCTGTGGCAGATAGATGGGTTAAATCTGATCATATTTTGTTAACACATCCATGTCCGGAAAGGCTTTGTTTACGCGCTAGGCATCTGAAATGTGAATGACGCTTGTGGGCAAGTAACCCATAGTCCCCGACTGTACCTAGAGATTGTTTAGTAGTTTCTCCATAATTTGTGTGGCGGATATGTACACAAATGTAGAGTACACAGAGATGTTTCTCATCTAAGGGAGGGCCTGTCGGCAGTATCTACAGTGTTTCCCAAACAAGCGTCACCCAGCTCACACTATATTTCCAAGATTAGAGAGACGTCTGTGTAAAACAGACAGCTTGAAGTCCTAACAAATACCCGTGGATGTCAGCGGAGGTGCCATACACCAGACTTTGAAGAGCAGCCTGATACTAATACCTGAAGTGTGGCACACAGCCTGGGTATAAAACACGTCAGTATGGAAAGTTTTGCACGATGAGCATCTTCACCCCTACGAACTCCAGAAGGTGCAGGCAATGGGACTGAATGACTTCAACTCAGTGTGTCAACTTTGTTGATGGTTACTCGGACAAACTGTACATGCACCTAACTTCCTTTGCTTTATCTTCTTTTCTGGATAGTGTACTTTTACCAAAGACGGCATTTTCAACTCCTGAAACAGCCATGGGCTCAAGAAAATCTTAAAGCGTTGCATATCCGAAGCCAGCAACACCGTTTTGCCGTCAATGTGTGGACAGGTGTTATCAATGGACATCTAACTGGCACTTACCTCTGCAGCTTACTGGTGATATTTACTTAACATTTCTCCAAGATTCCTTACCTGAGCTGCTGGAAGTGGTGCCTTTGGAAGTCTGTTGTGAAATGTGGTTCCAGCATGATAGTGCCCTGGCACACTGCACTAATGTCGTCTGTGAGTAATTGGATGAAACATTTGGTAACATATGGAATGGACGTGGAGGCCCAATAACCTGACTTGAATCCATCAGATTTCTTTCTCCGGGGAAACATGCAAAGCCTGGTGTGCGAGCTTGCCACAACCTGATCTTCTGGCAAGAATTGCAGTAGCAACTGGAACCATCCGGGAAATAGGGCATAATCTGCTGTACTGAGCCTGGACTGACAGAGGCCTTGTATATATTGTACATAGAAATTGGAATTAAGAGTAAATTTGTAAATATATGTAAATACAATGGACTTACTAATACAGACTATGACTGACAATTAACAGACCCAACCTCTCATCAGAGTGGGTGCCCCACATGGACAGGACAGTAACTTTCATTTAAAAAGAAACATCTGGTCATGAACACCAGCCAGGGCTTGACACCAAGACAGACTGACTGACTGTCGGCTGCAATGTTACTTTGACTAGAATGATGCTGACATCACTGAGTTCTTAAACTATAGACATAGATGCATTCTACCAGGTAATCTGAGTGCCATACACCCATTTTGGAATAAAGCAGCATGAAATTATTTGATTTCAATGATTTCAAATCCTCTGCACCGCAAAACCACATTCATTATTCCCCTGCGGGAAATGGTGACCTGCTGGATTATGTGGTCCACCAACTATCAGGGTGTCAGATGTCATTGTTTCTGATATTTTGGATTCAGATCATCTACCAACAGTATTCGACATAATGGGTGTCAAATTTGGGAATCATTCAGAACCTACTGAAATATTCACACACTGGAATCTGTTTCCAAGCATTGCCTCTGAATGAGTATCACCAAGAATCAAAATTAACTAGGAGGTAGAAGCCAACAAATTGGCACGCAACTTTACAGCCTTTGATGCTTCGGCATATGGCTTGTTGACAAGTAAAGTTACACTCTCAGACATAAAGAGCGAACCTCCTGGTATAGATTGCCTGTTAAAACACAAGCAGAGGCTAAGGAAATTGTGGCAAGAAACCAGGAATCCAGTGTGGGGGGGGAAAAAAAAACAACAAAAAAAACAGTTAATTGGGTCACGAAATCAAATCAGGCGAATGACTCATAAAATGGCATTTGAATGGTGGGAAACAAAAATAGGTATCACTGAAGTCACTCCTCAGGCTATATTGTAGATTGCAAAATCCCTCCTAAAGAGGGCAAGAACTGCTATATGTGTTTCTTCAGACCTTAAATTTCATTCATCCGTGAAAGCCAATGCAGTTGCTGCCTGTTGGGAAATTCAGTTCATATCACATGATTTACGTGACGAAAACCATGAAGGCTAGAGCTCAAGCTCTACTCGAAAGCCTTAGACAACAGGCCTGCCTCAGAGGAAAAGACCATGTTACTTACAGGATACATAAATTCTTTGATATTGACAAGGGCCTGCTGAATTGATGGCATTCCAAAAGAATGCCTCAGGCACCTTCCAAGATGACCATTGGTGCAGCTGACTGTGAATTGCTGTATTTGAATTGATCTTGCTGGTCACCTGTTTCGCTTAGTCTTCAATGCTGAAGATGGAGGTAGCACATTCCTCTGAAACTGTAACTGATGTGGAGTCAGCATGGATTAGTACTTGAAACCTTGAAATAACAGCAGATATCACTTCAACCTCCATGAAATTAGTGCACACAATCACCCACATAGAGATGAGCATGTCGATGCTGCTGGTTGATGACATTGCGCACATATGCAGCCATCTATGTGTCATACAATAATACTACAACTAATGTCGGATACAATTTAGTGAAACCATGAGAATCAGGATGCAATGCAGCTGGCTCAAACAAACAATGCTATTTCTGGCATCTAGCTCTGTCTGGACTCTTGGGAGAGTGTGATGTGAAACTTTCATTTTTCTCCAGTTTGATTCCTCCTTCCTGAGAAGACGTATCAGCCACATAGATGGGTGCAAAGTGTGCTCACATACAGTGACTGTACATCATAGCTAGAAGAAAGGAAATTGTATTCAGATAATTGCCACATTCTGTGTAAATAACATTTAATTTCAAAACTAGAATGCAGAATTTAACATGTTATGGTACAAAATACATAATTCGAAAGGACCAATAATAAATGCAATACCAAGGCCAAGGCATACTTCCCTATACGCCCATCTAGTCATCTAGCCATTCTGGTCACAGCAGGTTTAGTATAATAACCATGAGATAACCTTCAAGCTGTGACAAGTGGCTTGTGTAAGCTGATAAAGGGCACAGGGTCTTCAAACAGAACAAGACAGGAGGCAGAAAGGGGAAACATCCAGTGCTGTCATGCCCGCATTCCACAGGACTTCTTTCTGTGGCCTCAGTATTGTTCCACATATCAGGAACAGAGCACTTCAATAGCTGAAAATTGCCATTAACTGAAGACTTTCTCAACTAGCTGCAGTAGATTTAAAATTTCCAGAGAAAATAAAAGTATCCGGAAGCTTAAACATCAAAATCTTTTCTCTCTCTTTTGGTACAAAGACTCGGTAACAAAATACTGAAAAAGTATACAAGCCTACTAAAGACTGTAAATATCTAAACACTCAGGCACATTCAACACTTTCAAACCATTTTTTCCCATTGGTCTTCATTCTGGTTAAGTTGTGCGCTGTCTTTTATTTTCATATCGCTCAAAAGTTAGTTTCGGAACATGACTGAAGTTTGTAAATGCAAAATGCATATCAATTCAATACAAATACATTTACAATGAACAAAAGGTCATGCAATGTCACACAATTACTTTAGTCCAACATCTTATTTTCATCACGCTGATGCAGCAACCAATAAAAGGGCTCAAAACGTTGACATGCAGCTACCTGCAGCAGTCCAAACACATGTTCTCATCTTCAAGATTACTGTACCTACAAACAATGCAAGTGTCATTCTCTGTCAATAAGAGCAATGGCAGTATGAGACAGGATTATCATAATATTTTTAGAGAAGAAATATTGTTGCAGGTTAGGAACATTTGGCTGTAGTATGAAAACTGATAAAAAATACTTCACTAGTCACCTCCAGAATTGGAAAATGACCTGCTGGGACACCAGAAACATACAGATAGTATGTTTTGATGAATAAGGGTATAGAGAGATTATAAACAGTATGGAGAAAAAATATGAAAGGAAAGGTTGTTAGGAACAGAGGAAATGGTTTTGTATGAGATACAATATGAAAATACCTCTGGATGAGGATGATACAACTTGAAAAGTTATATATGGGTTTCTTTGTACCTACCAGTAGAGACCAAATGATCTGTGATTTAAGGTACAGAGTATATTAAAAGTCCAGTTACCTCAGAAGTGTATTATGAGTAACATTAACACTTATTATTCATGACCATGCAATTACACAGCTAGAAAACCACTAATTGTTTGGCTTCCTCCATCATGTCCCATACCAAAAACATTACCCTGCTTCAGTAATTGTGGCACAGTAATAGGGCACCTACAAGTGTGATACGCATAAGCTCTTATTAAATCAAAGAAATACTGCTTGCTAGTACATGGGTCCATGAAAAACATATCACAGGTCAATTGTTATTGAGCAAGCATTTAGGGGCATTTCTGAACGNTGAATGTAGTGTGAAAATTAGAAAAACAAAACTCCAGTTTTTTCCCAATTTATTACACTTTAAGTGAAATGTTGCATTCTTTGATTTAAATATTTAAATATCCACCAGCATAGGAGTTGGGTAGGAATTTAAATGCTGCCGGCAGTTAAGGGTTAACTGCTAATTGCTCTGACATGCAATGTTATGCTATAAATATTGGCAAGGACTACAAGATGGTCACTTCACCTTGAATAAAGGGACAGCAAGGATTTTAAAAATATCAGCAATAAAGCCAACTTCTACACAGCAGTATCAGCCAAAAGCAGTGAAACCAGAAAAAAAAAAGAATGAAATTTAACACAAAACTAGAAAAAAGCCCCGTTGCTTTATGTACACACACACGTTTAATTCCTGCACTTGTGTATTTCTGTTTTCTAAAATAAATAATAAAAATGAGCAATAAATTTTAGGCTGAGGTAAGTCTGTAAAAAATGTATTGTCTGTTGAAAGACTGAATAACAAAATTTGATAACTTCCATTTCTACCTACAGTTTTCATAGATAACTGATAAATGAAAGTATATATTGTCTGCTGAAGACTCAATAAACAAATTTGATTATTCCCATCCCTACCTACAGTTTTCACAGGCAACTCCCCCATTCATCCACATCCACTATCATGCATTACAGCCCCTAAGGATATTCTGAAATCACCTTTTCACTGATTATGCATGTTATGGACCTGAATAGCTGTGGTAAGACTGTTTCATAATATAAGCATATCAGCAGTACTCTAAACAGATAATTTTCTTCAACAAAGGTATACACTAATACTGATTAAATCAACATTGTTTATTGGAATCTTCTGAATTAGTCACATCAATTTTGCATCTGAATTCCTTGGAAATAAGAAACACTTTCCTGTTTAGACTAATTATATACATGGCAATTCATAAGTCCCTCAAGGAAATCCGAACTCTGCGATACAGTAGCTGGGATGGTAATGATGGGAGGGGGGGACATGTCAACAGAGGGGGAGACACTCCCAAGTTTCTGACCTACCTTACAATTAGATTCTAAAGGGTTCTGACGATGGTGGATGACACACAGAATTACTGGGTTTTTGGACTTTTTCCCATTGTCTGGAATTGTAGGCAACAGAGGACATGACGTTTCAGAAACTGGATTTGTTTCCGCCTTCAGGTGAGAAAGGAAGACACCTACTCAGTTTGGCCCCTTAGAAAGAGCTAATCTCTAACCTTCGAAGTCTCATATATACAGATATAAGTAAATATCAGACTAAAAGGACTGATCTGTGCAACATTGTGTAGTGCTCTTAAAAATAAATTAAGTCCATCGTTTTAATTAGTAGAGCGTGGTCCAGTGAACCCTCTCATCGGAGCAAGGCCTGTTAACCACTGGGTACAACCCGCATGTTCATTCCTTGAACATTATCCATTTTTCCATTCACACATCACTCCCGATATATTTGGCATGGTTTTAAGGTCACGTGGTGCTCAACTATGGACAAGAAGTGAGTGGGAGGAAGAAGACAAAGGAGAGGGTGATTAGAAAGTGGTTGCCCAACGAGCGGCTATGCAAAATAATCAGAATAACCCAATAAGAAAGAATCACAGGGGGTTAGGTCAGGTGACTGTGGAAGAGAGGGAAGAAGTGGAGAGTTAATGTTAAAAAACATCCAATCCAATGACGGGGAAGATTAGCACTGAGGTGAGCATGGATGCCAAAATAGAAGTGTGGTGGAGCTCTGTCTTCTTGGAAAATGAAGTCCTCACTATCTTCCTGTAACTGTGGCATTAGCCAGTTACAGCATGCCCAGGTAGTTGATACCACTTCACAAAGAAAAATGGTTCATGGAATTTGCAAGAGGAAACGGCATAAAACACATTCACTTTAGGCAAATCATGGATGTGTTCCACTGTTGCGTGAGGATTTTCTGTGCCCCAAATGTGTAAGCTGTAATGGTTCACCTTACCACACACACAAAATTGCATCATCACTGAAAACCAGCTTCCTCCAGCCGCTGTTGGAAACCCACGCAGAACTGGAAATGAAGATTGTGATCCTGGGGATTCAGCACCTGCAACAGCTGCAGCCTGTATCCTTTCATGCCAAGTTGTTTGTGCAGAATGCACCAGACACTTGACTGAGGCATCTGCAATTCCCAGCTCCTATGATGTGTTGACTTCTGAGGGTTCCTGATAAGTTTCTTGCACATGCTTGACAGTCTTGGCTGATGGCCCTGGCTGGCCTTTTCGTTTCACAGTGCACAGGCAGCCACTCTGCTGGAATTTCTTGTACCACTCATGAACTGTTTTGCCCGCAGGTGTTTCTGTGTGGCACTTGGTTTGAAACCTCCAATTCACCTCACAAGTGACTCAGTTTTGGCAAATTCCAAGACAAAGAACGTTTTCTTATCCCCTGCCCATGCCATGTTTCATCACAACTGCCCCACAGCAGTTAAATGTACAGGGTGACACAGAAAAACGGGAACTTCTGGCAAACAAATAAAAATAGAATACATGCAACAACAAAAAATTTTATTGACAATAATTGAACCACTACAACTTGCCTTTTAAGAAACAACAATCCAAATTATCAATTTCTGAAAATTACGTCCTGCAGATGGCGTCCTTGTCTACGTATACATTCTCCTAATCTGTTGTTCAGGTTCCCCATTGATCGCTGCAACATCTCAGCTGGGATACCACGAATTTCTTCTTCAATTCTTTGTTTCAATTCATCCAGTGTCCTTGGCCGAGTCGTGTAGACCCGACTCTTGAGGTAGCCCCACAAGAAAAAATCACAAACTGATAAATCCGGTGATCTTGGGGGCCAAGGAATGTCACCGAATCTTGAGATGACATGATTACCAAACAATTCTTGCACAGCTGCAATTGATTGCCTTGCAGTGTGCGATGTCGCACCATCCTGCTGAAACCAGGTTTCGTGAAGTTGTGGGAAATTGTTCAATGCAGGTGCAACAAAAGTTTGCAACATCTCAACATACGGATCCGAAGTGACAGTCACTGTGATCCGGTCTTCATTTTCGAAAAAGTAAGGTCCGATGACCCCGTGTGACGAAACTGCACACCATACTGTGACCTTGCTGGCGTGTAAAGGGCGTTCATGAACTTCACGAAACCTGGTTTCAGCAGGATGGTGTGACATCGCACACTGCAAGGCAATCAATTGCAGCTGTGCGAGAATTGTTTGGTAATAGTGTCATCTCAAGATTCGGTGACATTCCTTGGCCCCCAAGATCACTGGATTTATCAGTTTGTGATTTTTTCTTGTGGCGCTACCTCAAGAGTCGGGTCTACACGACTTGGCCAAGGACATTGGATGAATTGAAACAAAGAATTGAAGAAGAAATTCGTGGTATCCCAGCTGAGATGTTGCAGCGATCAATGGGGAACCTGAACAACAGATTAGGAGAATGTATACGTAGACAAGGACGCCATCTGCAGGAAGTAATTTTCAGAAACTGATAATTTGGATTGTTGTTTCTTAAAAGGCAAGTTGTAGTGGTTCAATTACTGTCAATAAAATCTTTTGTTGTTGCATGTATTCTATTTTTATTTGTTTGCCAAAAGTTCCCATTTTTCTGTATGCCATGGCACCTATTACCCCCAAAAAACTTAGAGATATTCTCTACCTACTTACGTGCTCCTTTCTGTTGTGGCTGTCTTGGATGTTGCATTGCCAAGTTTGGAAGTTCCGAAGGGACTTATGAATTACCATGTACAGATAGCAGAAAAATATTAAATAATTCTGTCAATTGCATTGACACTATTTTTATGATGTTCAAGACCACTGGACTGATTTGGCCTAAAGAAAGGCAGAAAAAGAAGTTTTGCATGATGTCCCACAACTTGTGGTAACACCAGAAGATATACTTACATGGCAAGTGAGCATGCATTGCAGAACTCTTCAGTGCACTTAGCACATGTTACAATGCAATGTGCACAAAGGAACTTCTCACAGAATGTACACCGGGACTGAATATCTGAGCATGGCAGTTTGCAGTTCTCACAATGAAGTCTTGGTTCTGGCTGAAAACAAACTTCAGTCACTTCCAAATTTCAGCAAACATGAAAATTAGTTGTTCCTGCCAAGCCAAGTTATTAATATAGCATAAAACCTGACACTGTTATACCTAAGGTTTCCTGAAAAAGGTGTGACATTCTGAAAATATCAGAATCAGACTGTGTTCATGCTTAAGCCTGATGGCCTAAAGTGCTGGGCCTATAATTTGCTTATCCTTGATTGCGTTCTGTTTTTCAAGTTTTGTTACTGCAAAGAACATGTCTTCAGATTTTTTGCTGGAAGAGAACAGGTTACTTTCATCCACCATATGTTCTTCTTTTGAGAACATGCATGAAAAAACAAAAGAACAATACAATCACTTTGATGGTAGAATTTAAGTGTATCTTTCAGTAAGGTCGTGACAGCTGCTGCCTCTGGTGCAACACAACAAAAGACCCCATAGAAGTAAATTAATTCATAACTTATGTATGACTTTGACTTTCAGAAATATGCTATGTGGAATGTTGAAGGTTCTCTTGTTTCAGCAAATCTGCAATTGCCATTTTCAAGGTCAATATAGTTCTTTTTTTGGGGGGGGGATTTTGAAGTCCTTACACAGAGATGTAAGTAGGTGATGAGTCCAAGATGAAGTGGTAGCTGGATATTACAGAAGAGTGGGGTGCTACTCAGTAGGAAACAACCACGTAGTTTGTGAAAAGACAGTGGCGACAAATGTATTTCTGGAGTTCCAGCAGACTTGAAAAAATGCCATGACGAATGTTCTGGTGACAAGGTTGCCCTGAAAAGAGGTGATGAAAAATGTCTCAGCATCTTCATGTTTAAGGCATGTGGCAATGGAACTGTTTTTAGCAACTATGTGGTAAGGAGGAGATGTGGCAAAAAAGGTTTCAGAGACCATTTGACTGGGAACAGAAGTACTGAACAAGTTTACATTGACCATGGAGGTAACAGAAGCTTCTGTTCCTGCAACTTGGGACAGGAGAGGAAATGATGAAAAGTCTGCATCATCCACTATGTACGTACATCTGCATGGTTGAAGTTCAGTGGTTGTTAGAAGGGCATGAAAACAAAAGCTGAGGTATCTATGCCACTGGAAACCATTAGCAGAAGCTAAGGGATCTACAAAGTTGGAAGCCATTACCAGACAACCAGTGAAGACTTGGCTGACTGAGAAGACTTAGTGTGTGCTATAGTGAACTGTAAGGTAAGGTAAAGTTGTCTCTGTGTTTAACCAATTAAGCACTATGCCGGCACATGGGAGAGTGGATACAGAAATCCACATTTTCTTGACCTCGGCACTAATTGGAGGTGAGTGGTTGCCTTGACGCCCAGGCAGCTTTACTCCCACGGAAAGAGTCCCTGGTACCCGTTGGATAGGAGGCTGGGTGGGCCCCAGAGCAGGTCTGGACAATGTGGAGAAAATTCTTGACCCTACTGGAACTCCAATTCTGACACATTGGTTGTCCAGCAAAGAGCCAGTTGCTATACCCACTAAGCTATCCTGGCCAATGTAGAGTGTGTAAATTAGTGATAACACTGAAGTTACTTTTAGTAACGATCTGTATGTGTTCATTAAACTCAATTACTACTCCAAACCCCATCTATACCATCTATAGTCATCCTTATCATGTGACAGTTGGATTCCTTTCACTCCTGTGAGAACTGCTTCTACTGAGACATTAAACGCACAAGTTTGTGGATTTTAGAACGTATTGCTTTGCCTCCTGTTGGGATCCATTCTGCTGGTATCTCACCAATCCTTGGTGATTAATACAATTTTAGTTTTCAATAACAATCTCAACTTCACAGTCAATTGTGAAATGAGAAAAACCCTTACTCCCTTTAGTGCAACTAACGTTAAGAAACTTTATGCACTGAAGGGTTAAATGAGTAACAGAAAACTATAAAAACAAATGCAAAAGAGGTACAAGGTCCTGTACAAATTGGTACCTTAACAGTGCCCCATGATTGCAATTGGCACTGACTATCCAGAAACATCTGTTTGTAATTATGTTTCAAATCTGGAGAACAGAAATTCTCTTTATGTTTCACAACTGGAGAATCCAAATGAAGACTTGCTGCAACTCCTGATTCAGTCACATTCAGTACTTTCCTTGCTCCCACAAACAGCATATTCAGAGTTTTATCTGTAAGAAAAAATCTTAAATTCATCTTCTAGTGTCAATTTACAAAGGCCACAAATGCAAAAAGTGGCAAGAACTTCTTTAAATCTGCAAAATATAGAATTGTTTTCACTGCTGTATGGTCATTAAGTATTAACATTTAACTAGTGTGACCAAATAGTTTCTGGACCGGTTGCAAGATGGCACTAAAGCAGTTACAACAAGACTCGTCATCCACGCAGACTTAGAGCAGTATATGTTGGATCATTTTGTCATTCATCTGAGAGTTGTAACTTTTGTCTCTTGACAGTAATACTGAGACCTCCACACATTACTGGAAAATGATGATTTAAAGAACAGCTAGTGTGCAGTAACCTATGAGAAGTTCGTGCCATAGCTCAAGCGGTTAGTCACTGGCTTCCCACCACAGCGGCCTGGGTTCGATCCCCGGTCTGGTCAAGTGGGATTTGTGGTGGACAAAGTGGCACTGGGGCAGGTTTTCTCCGAGTACTTTGGTTTCCCCTGCCAATCTTCATTCCACCAACTGCTCCACAATCACCCTCACCTAACATCTGGGGCAGGTACAATAGGCCAGAAGTGGCCGCAGTCCCACTCCACTAGCAATAAAAAAACCTACGAGATGTTAAAATTTGCTTTCAGAAGGAAAACAATGTGCAAAATTGAAATATTTAATTGATTTTCTAAGCTCAAAACTGGAGTAACACTAGTTCAGGACATCCACAAGCAAAAGAGATGAAAATGTGGCCGGTATCACAGAACTTATTCATGAAATTAGACGCATTACCATCCACAACTTCATTAACGAGTTGGAAATCTCATTTGGATCATGTCAAAGTTTTCTGACACAACATGTAAACATGGGACAAATGGGTGCAAAATTCTTGCCTCATTTGCTGGCTTACGAGCTAAATCAGAATTGTATTAGCATGTGTCAGGACCTTCAACAAAAATATCACAGACTCACAAAATCTATTCAGAGGTCACCACGACAGGCTGAACTATTTTTCAGAATCAGAAGAACCACATATCACAGACAACACAAGACACACCCCACCTACATAGGCATTGCTGCCATGTGCACCAAGCTACAAAATTAAAATGAATGGCAAATGATTTAGTAGATCCTGTTCTACCCACACCCTACCTGGAGAAATACTGCCCTACCTGCAACAGTGCCATCTTGTGGCCAGTCCAGAAACCACCTGACCACACATACATTTCTCACTCACATCAGCATCATTCTATACCCCTATCAACATAGAGTAGTTACCATGGTAGTGATCAAAAGTGTAACACACAGGTGCCTCCCAGCTAATGTGTGCTGGGTCCTCTGCTGCCATAGAAAAAGGAGACAAAATTTCTCATGGGTTCTGGTGAAGGGCTGTATTGAGGCTGAGGTTGAAAGATGTGTCACAGTGGGGTGAATGTCATCATAAAGAGGAAGGAATTGGCTTGAGGCAGCTGATGGCTTGGCTGGAAGCTCTGTTAAGTGTCCAGCCAGAACTAGTGGTAGGTGCTATGGTGTCACCTATGGTAAATGACAGAAATTGGGTACAGGTACCTCTCAAATCAGCAATACAAGAAAAGAGGCTTAGAGTCTATGAACATAGGTTTGTCCTGTCCCTTTTTTTTTTTTAGGAACCTGGTTATATGGGACATACTAGATCACATGTCAAAAAGATTCAGGTGTTTTGCATTGGCTGGGATTAAGTTTCTTTCATGACTCCAGTCACAGCCTCATGTTATGGCAAGGAAAGAAAAAATATCACAGTTTCCAAGGCCCCTGAGACAATCTGGATGGAGGTCAGAAAAATCCTTGTCCCTATTGGGAATGGTATCCTGGCGGTTAAGCCTGCAATCATTAAACTAAAATATTCCAAATCCTTTGGATAAGTGAAAAATACAAGTAACAGACTGAAATGTACTTATTGCTAGAAACTACCAACTGTGTGTGTGTGTGTGTGAATCATACTGGAAATAATGTTCGTAAACTCTTGTACTATGCTTATTCATTCATGGCTAACTGAATTTCAGTTGTCATAGAAAGGTTGTTACTTTTACCATATGTAAAGAAACACTCTTAAGCCCGGCACAACATGGCATACATATCACCACCACTTAAGTTAGTAATCATAATACGAATAAATACAGCCTACCATAAACTGACTTCACTGATTCTTCATCACACATTTCTTTCTCGCTAATATGTACTTTATTTTGGGGTAAGAGGTCATATTCGAATGGATACATTCTCTTCGGCATTATGAGTTTAAATTTATTGCTGTAACTAAATCTGAAAACATATGAGTGACAAACTATAAATACACCTTACGAACGACACTCATGACCCTCATTACCAACTGAGTACACACACACCACTGTCAGTCACGAACGTCACGAAGTCACGAAGGTCACGAACCGAATTTCACAGCTATATGCAGGAAACGTTCTGCATGTTTACCTTCGTTTAACATCTCGCTTTCACCGACACATGCCGTCCATCATGGATTCCGAGCTATAGATCGGAGCGCTGATCACTCATAAACCTCATAAATACACAACTAACATGGGACATTACATCGAGGGACGAAAGATGGCAGGGTGACGAGAGGGAATTCTTGACTAAAGTGAATGGGATACAACGATGTAAGACTAGAAATTATTATATTAGGAATGAACTACATGTAGAAAGTTTAAATGGCACTGCCTGTATATACAAAGTAAAGTGGAAAAGTCAAGTGCAACACTATTTAATAATATGTACATCGTCAATAATGCAACAATGCTATTTAAGATAGATAAAATAAGGCCGGGCTCACGCCAAGGAACTGGCAACCGCAACGCAACCGCGATTTCCGAGAAGTGTAATCAGCCAGGGTTGAACATATTTAAGTGATATCACTTCTCCATGCAACCGAGTCCTTCTTGAAATCCAACCTTGAGGCGACGGAACTCATTTGTTGAAACTGGAGAATTTTAACTCCACATGTATGACTACGTAAGCAAAGTATGGAGACAATCAGAATATTTGTACAGAGAAGCCCCCAAGCCTCACAGTGCTACAAATATTTGATTAAGTCAAAGAGCAATTTGCGACAAACAGCCAGTCTCTCTTGGTGCCGAGCCCTATCCGGGGCTCATTGACAAGATATTATACTTCTTTTTGACAGTTATGATTTTGTCCATGTGAGGCCACCTCTCTGACGGGAGTACAGGTCTGTCATTTGTTAGAGACACAATCAGCACTAGAACAAGTCAGTATGTACAAAATATTTATAGTTTACTTATTTTTATGTGTATATATAGAATGTATGCAATGCCACTGTCAGCTGAGTTTTGCATAAGGGTGGGAATACACGAGCGCGCCGCTGCTGTAATGCAACATAGAATTAACGCGCTCGTGTGCACGTGATTTTGAACACGCGCAGCGCACCCCTCAACTGCCGCGCAGCAATCCGGTTCGATCCGGTTCCTTTCGGTTTTTCTGACGAACACAAAGGGATTCGTTGCCGCAGTGTGGTCGGGTTCGGTTGCCATTTGTCCCGTGAAGCGCGCACGCCTCAAACACGGAGTGGTCAGAAGAAGATATTTTGGGGCTCATAGAGGCATACAAATCATTCCCTGTACTGTGGAAT